ATAAATACAATCATAAAGTCAAAACTTTATTGGCATAATTGTCAGGCGTTTATTTGCAAAATATATGGTAGGCTAGCAAATGCTAGCATAATTATACAAAAGGTTAACTAGGTAAAGCGGTACACAAATTGAAAGGGGAAATAAACATATATCACAATAAATATAAAAATATAGCCCTAATAAGTTAATGTAATAATAATAATACATAATTAATAATTTATGCATTTAGCAGACGCTTTTGTCCAAAGCGACTTATAGTGAATTCAGGCTATACATTTTTTACCAGTATGTGTGTTCCCTGGGAATCGAATCTACGACCTTTTGCACTGCTAACGCAATGCTCATTTTTGAACATTTTGAACGTTTGTGAACATTTAATATTAATAAAAATGTTTTATCCATTTTTGATAATCCCGGGTTGCTATGGTCACGCAGGTTTGTTTACGCATTAAACTTGTGGCCACGAGAAAAATATGAGAAATGGATGTCGTTCCCTCAACATAGCATCTCGAGGCCACGACATAAGGATGTCTTACCTCAACAAAATTATCTCGTGGCCACGACATAATATCACGTTCCCATGAGTTAATATGACGTTCCCTCAAATTAATATCTCGTGGCCACGACATATTATCATGTTCCCACGAGTTATTATGTCGTGGCCACGACAAAACTAAGTGAACCGAACATGTCAGCTGCTGGGCACCGTAATATATAAATCAGTGGATAAGACCCTTATTCCTCGGCTGGGATCATGTAGAGCCCTTTGAAGCTGCACTGAAACTGCCTTTTTAACCTTCAATCCGTATATGGAGAAAAATACTGTAATGGTTTCCTCAAAAACCTTAAATTCTTTGCGACGGAAGAAAGAGAGACATCTTGGATGACATGGGGGTGAGTAAATTATCAGGAAATTTTTACTCTGAAAGTGGAGTAATTCTCTTAAAAACTGTCGCTGTCATGTACTCTGCACTGTAGCATGCAAAATACGGGGACACTCTAAAACGCTTAACGTGAAAATCGCTTAATGTGGCTTAACGTAAACAACGACCAGGGAAACCCACATTTTTGTCAAACCTTACTTGTAATAAACACTAACTACTTTCAAAAGAACGAGCCCTTACTCCACAGATAAAGTGAATAATATCACGTTAAACGTTTTCTCCCCAATAGAAGTCCATTATAAGAAAACAGCTTAACGTGGTTTAACGTACCTTAACAATGACCGGAGATAACCAAATTTCTGTCAAATTTTACTTATAACAAACACTTGCTACTGTCAAAAGAACGAGCTCTTATTCAGCATATAAAGTGAATAATATCACGTTAAGCGTTCTCCCCCATAAAAGTCCATTATAAGGAAACAGCTTAACGTGTTATGATCCAAAAGCGCAGACAAATCAATAAACTTGACAATGAACGCTTTGTTGTCCCGTTGTTGGGGGCGTTGACCCTGTTCGCATGGCTCGCGTAGAGAATAGCGCTCTGCGCAAGGGCATGATCATTAGAGATAATGAGCTGAGACAGGAGAAACCTGTACCTGTCTTTCATGCTTATCACAAAATTAAACTGAACCAAATTACAATGTTCTCAGTTTGTCGATGCGTCCACGTTAAGCTGTTACCTTATAATGGACTTCAATGGGGGTGATATTATACCTTATAGATACGCTGAATAAGAATAGCTCGTTCTTTTGACAGCAGAAAGTGTTTATTATAAGTAAAATTTTACAGAAATTGAATTTTCCCCGGTTGTTGTTAAGGTACGTTAAACCACATTAAGCTGTTTCCTTATAATGGACTTCTATGGGGGAGAAAACGCTTAATGCGATATTATTCACTTTATCTGTGGAATAAGGGCTCGTTCTTTTGACAGTAGTTAGTGTTTATTACAAGTAAGGTTTGACAGAAATTTGGGTTTCCCTGGTCGGTGTTTAGGTACGTTAAGTCACGTTAAGCGTTTTTCATGTTAAGCGTTTTAGAATGTCCCAAAATACTTATTTGTGTGTGTTGTGTTCGCTCCACGCAGCGTTGGTCTCCGTCTAACCGGCTAACAGCAATATCTGTTAGCTCGCAATTGTCTAGAAATGTGTCGATGAATAGTGAATGTTTGTCGTTGTTATTACTTGGAGTTCTGATAAAGAATAGAGCAATACGTTGGTGTACAAACTGCAGTTCTTTATCAATACGTTTCTGCATTAGGCTAACTTATTACCATGGCTGTTTGGGTGTTTACCATGAGCTGTGGGCTAAAGGCTGATTTATACTTCTGCGTAGGACCTACGCCGTAGCCTTTACGCCGTAGGCTATACGTCAGTTTTCATTTATACTTCTGCGTCGTTGTCCGCGTCAATGTGCAGTACACATGCAAACCGCTAGTCTGCAGCATGGGCATGTTGCTGATGTAACCCGCAGTACCACGATAAAAGCCGAAGAAGAAGCAGCTCGTCGGAGAAGCATTATAGCCGTGACGGCGGCAAATAAATATCAAATCATTAAATCATTATTTAAAACTACAAAAAGGAGACAACAACGGAACAGGAGAAGATGGCATACTTTCAATCTCCACAAGGACTTGTACCACGGCAGATCAACATTGTTTGTCACGGACAACTACTGATGTATAATGCTATGTAGTATAATAAATGATAAGACACTTGTTCTTTGCTTTGTTTTATTTTATATAAGAAGGTGTAACATTCAAATATATTAAAGTGCACATAAACACACACAAAACTCAAGTACATACGGAGGTAGGGGTTCTAGCAGACCAATCACAGCGCTTGCGGTCTGCGTAGATTTGACGCGCTGTTAGATTTTTGGAGAGGTGCACGTCAGGCTACGTGCTGGATGATGGGTGTGCGTCTATGCGTAAGCTATGGTGTAGGTTCGACGCAGAAGTATAAATTGACCTTTCGTAATGGTGATGGGCGTTCCGTTAATGACGTGCGCTGCACGCAGTAGACCAACAGACTAGGTCATCAAACCAATCACCGCAGTTTAGCGTCACGCAAAGGAGGGGTTTGGAAAAATGAATCGTTGAGCGAACGATTTGGGTGTCGTTGAGCAAAAAAGGAAAAAAATAATTGCCTATTATAAGACAATGAACATGTTTTTTGGCTTTGCATGCATGTCATCCTGTTGTTGGGGACTCCCAAAACCAAAATATGAACCTTTCATAACCCATAATAGGAGCACTTTAAATGTAATTGAAAAACCCAGTACAGTTAAAATTACAATCAAATCAAGTGCTTTACGTGTGCTTTAGTATGTTAACATGTGATTTAGTATTATAGTCAACACATAAAAATAGTGTATTTTGTTAAAGCATGACAAAAGATTATTAAAACGTGATTTAAAAAGTTCTTGAAGGTACAACTTTTAATTTGACATCATTACTAAATGTGCTTTTTAAAACCATTCTTAAGTGTGTTAGAAAACAGAGTCATGAAATTGTATTTTCTTTAATTACACTTAAGTGGCATTTATTTAGGTATTATTTGCAAGTACAGCTTCTTTTTCCTTTTTTTATTTAAGATTTGAAGTAAACTAGAAACACACATTCACAACAAAGCACACGTCTTTTCCACAAGGGTATTGTGGAAACAACATTCTGGGGTATTGGGGGTCTCTGCCTGCAGTGTGACATGATTTCAACAGGTTATGGAGTTTGTTTATGGAGCCTTTAAGACTGTAAGAAGCTTCTTTTAAGAACCTATTATTATCGAAATACATCTCTATTTTTGAGAGGTGTAACTAAAGTTCCCTAAGTCTCCACAGATTGGGCCTGATGATTTCATGCATAATTGTAATTTCCTTGTATTCACTGCACATCCTTATATTGTTTTTGTTTGTTGTTTTTATGCTCTGAAATTGCTGTACAACCAAAGACCTTGACTTTGCTAGGACACAACTTGGCTTGGCCTGAACATTTAAAACCAATTAACAGATTAATATTTTCCTACTTAATGTTTGTTGTTGTTGTTGTTTTTCCCCATGCATATTTACAAAATGTGTTTACATTTTAGCACTTGTGTGTGTGTGTGTGTGTGTGTGTGTGTGTGTGTGTGTTTCAGTTTTTTGTACTGTGTCATGGGATGCTACAGCTTGCTCAACTCCTGGTTTCTGGCTATCTGAAAGGCTCCATAACCACCATTGAGAAAAGATATGGATTTTCGAGTCAGAAATCAGGACTGCTGGCAGCCTTTAATGAGGCAAGGATAATATGCTAACTTTATATGAATGGTGATGACAAGATGTCATGAATCGCCTGAAGAAAAAACACATTTGTTTTTGGAAGTTGTTAGCAACTGGTTTGCAATTATTTCAATATTAATGTACAAGTTCAGACACAAAGTCTAAATATGAAATTGATACTACATCACTCTTTGACTATTTTATCTGACCATGCATATAAGTCTTTTGTTGTTAAACAAAGGTGGGGAACACAATTCTCATTGTGTTTGTGAGTTTCTTTGGGAGCCGTGTGCATCGACCAAGATGTATTGGAATCGGAGCGATGATTGCAAGTGTGGGGGTGTTCCTTATAGCCCTACCTCACTTCATTAGCGAGAAGTACATTTATACAGACTTCAATAGCAGTGAGTGGGGATTGTTGTTTTATATATATATATATATATAAGTTCCTAACAACTGAAATAACCAATATGTATTTGTTGCACAGACACCAAACACAACAGTTCTGGTCTTTGCAAATCACTGAGCATCTTACCTGAGAAAGAATCTAAGCAGACATGTGATCAAGAAAAGACTGATTCTCACCTTGGAGTGTATCCAATACTTCTATTGGGCCAGTTACTGCTGGGCATTGGCGGTGTCCCCATACAACCTTTTGGGATTTCCTACATAGATGATTATGCAGAAAAGAGGAATTCTCCCTTCTACCTAGGTTTGACTGAGTAATGTTTGATCATTGATTTCCATATAGAGTGGTTTAATTCTTATAATACAGTGGTTAATTCAAGAAATAATCAACCTTTATCTTTTTCTACAGGCATACTTTTCGCGATTACTGTAATTGGGCCGGCATTTGGCTACATGATGTCCTCTGCGCTGCTTCGTTTCTTTGTTGACGTTGATAAGATGTCTTCAGGTATGTCTGATATGCGATGTCTGCTCCTTCATAAATGGAAAGTAAATTTATACACTTTACTGGTTCTTAAAGGTGCAGTAGGAGATCTTGGAAAATGCTAACTTTAGCCTGATAGCACTGAAAGCGAACGTCCCACCCTCCCTGCAATCGCCGTCCAAAGCCACGCCCCCTGAATGCATATACGCTCACAGACCAGAATACCAGAGACAACATTACTACAATAGGCTACATCAGCAGTTCCCAATTCCAGCCCATGTTCCAAAGTGAAGTAAACATCAATGGATTTCCCCTGCTCATGGAGTAGGGAGCAATGAACACTGTGTAGGGATCATATATCGATCGGAACACAGTTCATGGACGTAGCTTACTTATAACGAGCTGGTTATCTGAATCGGGTGTGTTGACTAAGCGAGACATGCTAAATATGCAGAGGGGAT